AGAGTATAATCCTAGGAAGGGAGATATTAGAAAGGTTGTGGCTGATGTGATCATCGCAAAAATGTGAACGTCTGATGTTTAGTGTCACCTTCCTGTAAGCCTAGAAGTTTGACAATGGCATTTGGAATGTCAGTGGAATCAGGCTTGACATTCCAAATGCCATTGTCAAACTTCTAGGCTTACAGGAAGGTGACGCTGAATGTCAGACATTCACGTTTTTGTGATGAAAACGTCGGTCACAACCTCTCTATTATCTCAAAACAAAGTTAATTAAATGAAGTTGTTTATTGTATTATTTGTTGGTTATTGTACTGTTTGTTGTAAAAACTTAAAAGCAGCAGCAACACATACACTTCCTGCTTTATTTTTTAGATGCACTTTGAGTACATGTGTCCTAGTGTTCACACATTCATTAAATAGCTTGGAGCTAATCACAAAAAATAATTGCAGCACTAACAATTGAGCCTTGTTTGTTTCATGTAAAAAGTGTACACTTTGATATCAATTTGATGCTATTCTTTGATTTGTCAGTGCAATGCTGTTTTTTCATCAGTATAGTGTCTGAGTGTACACTTTTCTACACTAACTCAAAAGTCAGTATAAGACAAAATATTGTATCCTCATTGATCAAGAAAGATAAAGTAAAGAAGAGCACTGAAAATCAGAGCTGTGGAGTCAGTACACAAATATTTTAACTCTGACTCCAATTTCTCAGTTTATGGTCCTTCAACTCTGACCTCTATTTTTATATCAATATAGGATATAAATAATAAATATACTAATTTCATAAGTATCCCTGTGGAATTAGTATATAAATATACACTACAGTAGAGCATTGATTATCCGAAACAATTTGGAACTGGGGTTGTTTGGATAATTGATTTTTCAGATAACCGATTATGTACCAAAAAATATATTAACCTATCCCATGTTGAAATTTGTTCAAATCCTGGCGCATCCTTAAGTACCCTCTCATAGTTGTGCCAGTGCTACCAGCTAAAACATGTACACCAACAAAAATAATATTGGAGTAGCTCAAATATTGCAGTGCCACAGCACTAGTGGAAATTTAAATTTGCTGACTGGAACGCTTTTGGTTAACCAATGTTTCAGTTTTGGTTGATCGATATTCAGATAATCGATGCTCTACTGTAATTATATACTTTATATATCAATTGAATGAATGCAACATGTAAGACAATTGAGATAAAAATATATGGCCAGGACAAAATAATCATTACAAAATATCTTTAAAAAAAATTCCTCAAAGATAATATTAGGTCAGTCCATAAGTTCGTGGGTATTTTATGACCTTGTTTTGCTGTTAAAAATGCCAGTCTAATGTGATACTTTTTACACTGAAGTGTTAAATTGGATCTCATTCATATAATACTGTTCAGAATTGGGAACATTTCAGTTGTTTATTTTCGTTAAAATGGAAGTAACAGATGAATATAAGAGACATGTTTTATACTTTTTATTTTTAAGTGATGAGAATGCTACAAATGCAGCCAAAAAATTAAATACTGTTCATAATCAAACTGTAATTAGTGTAAGGACTGCGCAGAAGTGGTTTGAAAGATTTAGAAATAATGATTTTAGTGTGGAGGATAAGGCTCGTACTGGAAGACCCGTTGACTTTGATGATGATGCTCTCTCTGCACTAGTTGAAGCAGAACCATCTTTAACAGTTGATGAAATTGCGGAACGTTTAAATTCATCCCATGGAACTGTTCATAGACATCTACAACAAATCGGAAAAGTTTCAAAGCTAGGAAAATGGATACCACATGAACTGTCAATAGCTAACTGACAACAACGTCAACTGCTCAACTCCAAAGCTTCAACTGGGAAATTTTACCTCATCCACCATATTTGCCAGATATTGCTCCCAGTGATTATCATCTTTTTCGGAGTTTGCAGAATTTTTTAAAAGGAAAAACTTTTGAGGATGAGAACAATGTAAAAAAGGCTATTTCTGAATATTTTGATTCAAAACCGAAATCATTTTACAAAGACGAGATTAAAAAGCTACCATCAAGATGGCAAGAAATTGTACAAAATAATGGTGAATACATTATAGATTGAAATAAGATTTAATTAAAATTTTTTGTTGCTTTTTTTGTATATAAAAATGCGCACGAACTTATGGACTGACCTGATACATACAAATGTGTCTTTATTCCAATACAGTCCTTTCAAATGCACATTTGAAGAATTAACAATTTCATGGCGGAGTCGACCTTTATAGGCTGCTCGTCTGCCTCTAAATGTAAAACAGTTAATAGTATCCGTTCCAATATCCCTCAAATGTATTTTTAATTTTATATGAAGTGCCACCACCAGAGGGATATTTTATCTGTTTTACATTTAGAGGCAGACGAGCAGCCTATAAAGGTCGACTCCACCATGAAATTGTTAATTCCTCAAATGTGCGTTTGAAAGGACTGGATTGGAATAAAGACACATTTGTATGTACAGTAGAGCATCGATTATCTGACTCAATTGGGGACTCGGGTTGGTCGGATAACTGAAAAAAATCAGATAACCAAAAAGAATGAAAAAAAAAACATTATTAGTATAGTATATTAGTATATTCCATGTAATTAGTACATTAGTATATCACTGTTAACCTACTTCGTGTTGAATTTTCATCAATGTTAAGCCTAACAAAATTTTAAAAAAAATAATAATCGTCACTATTGTATCGTTAAAAATTATCTTTGAATTATTTTATTGCTCACAAAATAAATAACCACTCATAATTAGAAAATTAAGTCTCATTTAAATACTGGCCTCCCTTCAATGGTCGAGCCGTAGATGCCAGTTAAAACATGCAAAAATTTAACAAAAATAATATTAAAGTAGCCACGACATAGCCAAATATTGTAGTGCCACATCACTAGCGGACATTTGAAATTTGCTGACTAGAACAGTCGGTTAACCAATGTGACAGTTAATTGGGGGTCGGATAATCGATGCTCTACTCTATTATCTTTGAGGAATCTTTTTAAAGATTGTTTGTAATGATGTAAGACAATTCATTACTGTCAACATAAATCATCAAACTACTTTTTAGAAAAATAACCTGTTAAAGTTTAGAGTCAGCCCATTTTTACCGACTCCAATTCCATAGTCCTGGATCATACACACCTAGCAATACTGCATGAAAATGGAAATAGGTGTTTCAGAATGCTAATGCAACCAACAGCCAAACAAAAAGTGTTAAAGGATAGTTTAAAAAAACAAGAAAAAGACTTTAAATGTCTTTTCTGGATAACCTAACCCTAAGATCTCTTTTCCACTAAGCATGCATTGGATAAACTGGAAAGGCGCATTTGTTAATTTCATAAACTAAGAATTTTTTTCAGAGATATAATTTTAGTCATTAAACTTAAATCAAAACATAGTATCAATTCAGAAAACATCAAATCATTACTAATTTTCTTGCTAATAGTTATTTACAGAATTTTCAGGAAAGTGGCTCATACAAATTTCAGTCTTTGACTATACAACACTGGATTGAATATTTTTACTTTTACATCAATGCTGCTGATGTTCAAGGATTTATTAACTAATGTACATTTAGCACAAGTCTACTTTAAAACAAATAAATTGTTTTCTTTATGGAAAATTTAACATATTTTCTTTATTTAATTTTTTAAATGCTATATTATTTTAGTTTATTCATTCAATAAAATATTTAAATTAATAAACTAAATGACTTACAGGTACTTTGGATGGTCTTGGATTTGGATCTGAAGTGGTGGTTTCATTCTCCATGGCTAACTAAATAGGCTTGCATAAAATTAATTTTTTAAATTAAATGCAGATATAGAATAAAAAATAAATATATACATATGTTTAAAATAAATAAATACAATGGGTGATCAGTTAACGAACATAATCCGTTCCAAGACTTTGTTCATTTATCCGAATTGTTCGTTAACCGATTATCGATTTACCATAGGTTTTTATGGGAATTTGATTAATTCATTCCGAAGACTCCAAAAAATAAAAAAAATATATATTTTTTTTACTACGTTTATTTATATGTAATAGTAAAAAAATATATATATGCAGTCTTGCATTTTTATTAGTCATGTTTTTTCCATTTGTGGGGGTTAAAGATCTGTCTAATGTCAATTGTTTTTCTCTTTTCTTCAGGATTTTTTGGAAGTAATTAATAGTATTATAATTTTAGAGATCCCCAATCCCATTAACCTTATTCTGGTTTGGATGCCACTTGGATGATCTGACATCCTCCCACTTCTTCAAAAGATCTTTAGTAACAGATGTTACATTGGTCTCTTTCGTCTTCCTCTTTTTCAAAAGAAAACACATCTCGCTGAGTTTTTTGGTATTCTTCATNTATATATAATTTATATATAATACTGTACAGACGATAGTAATCTCTCCGTAGCGTGGTGCTTGACAGCGGAATATAGTTCGGTTGCCCAATGACGTTTTACGTAATTATAGGAGTTTTTTACGGATACCGCCGCAATTTTTTCACCGTCTTATAAGAATCATAATTATAGGAACCCATCTTATAGGGGGGTCTACTGTATGTGTCCCAGTGTTCACACATTCATTAAATAGCTTGGAGCTAATCACAAAAAATAATTGCAGCACTAACAATTGAGCCTTGTTTGTTTCATGTAAAAAGTGTACACTTTGATATCAATTTGATGCTATTCTTTGATTTGTCAGTGCAATGCTGTTTTTTCATCAGTATAGTGTCTGAGTGTACACTTTTCTACACTAACTCAAAAGTCAGTATAAGACAAAATATTGTATCCTCATTGATCAACAAAAAGATAAAGTAAACAAGAGCCCTGAAAATCAGAGCTGTAAAGTCAGTACACAAATATTTTAGCTCTGACTCCAATTTCTCAGTTTATGGTCCTTCAACTCTGACCTCTATTTTTATATCAATATAGGATATAAATAATAAATATACTAATTTCATAAGTATTCCTGTGGAATTAGTATATAAATATATGCTACAGTAGAGCATTGATTATCCGAAACAATTTGGAAGTGGGGTTGTTTGGATAATTGATTTTTCAGATAACCGATTATGTACAAAAAATATATTAACCTATCCCATGTTGAAATTTGTTCAAATCCTGGCGCATCCTTAAGTACCCTCTCATGGTTGTGCTAGTGCTACCAGCTAAAACATGTACACCAACAAAAATAATATTGGAGTAGCTCAAATATTGAGTGCCACAGCACTAGTGGAAATTTAAATTTGCCGACTGGAATGCTTTTGGTTAACCAATGTTTCAGTTTCAGTTGATCGATATTCAGATAATCGATGCTCTACTGTAATTATATACTTTCTATATCAATTGAATGAATGCAACATGTAAGACAATAGAGATAAAAATATATGGCCAGGACAAAATAATCTTTACAAAATATCTTTAAAAAAGATTCCTCAAAGATAATACATACAAATGTGTCTTTATTCCAATCCAGTCCTTTCAAATGCACATTTGAGGAATTAACAATTTCATGGCGGAGTCGACCTGTATAGGCTGCTCGTCTGCCTCTAAATGTAAAACAGTTAAAATATCCCTCAAATGTATTTTAAATTTTATATAAAGTGCCACCACCAGAGGGATATTTTATCTGTTTTATATTTAGAGGCAGATGAGCAGACTATAAAAATCGACTCCACCAAGAAATTGTTAATTTCTCAAATATGCATTTGAAAGGAATGGATTGGAATAAAGACACATTTGTATGTACAGTAGAGCATCCAACTCAATTGGGGACTCGGGTTGGTCGGATAACTGAAAAAAATCGGATAACCGAAAAGAATGAAAAAAAAATACATTATTAGTATAGTACATTAGTATATCCCATGTAATTAGTATATTAGTATATCACTGTTAACCTACTTCGTGTTGAATTTTCATCAATGTTAAGCCTAACAAAATTTTTTAAAAAATAATAATCGTCGCTATTGTATCGTTAAAAATTATCTTTCAATTATTTTATTGCTCACAAAACAAATAACCACTCATAATTAGAAAATTAAGTCTTGTTTAAATACTGGCCTCCCTTCAATGGTCGAGCCGTAGATGCCAGTTAAAACATGCAAAAATTTAACAAAAATAATATTAAAGTAGCCAAGACATTGCCAAATATTGTAGCGCCACATCACTAGTGGACATTTGAAATTTGCTGACTAGAACAGTCGGTTAACCGATGTGACAGTTAATCGGGGGTCGGATAATCGATGCTCTACTGTATTATCTTTGAGGAATCTTTTTAAAGATTGTTTGTAATGATGTAAGACAATTCATTACTGTCAGCATAAATCATCAAACTACTTTTTAGAACAATAACCTGTTAAAGTTTAGAGTCAGCCCATTTTTACTGACTCCAATTCCATAGTCCTAAATCATACACACCTAGCAAAACTGCATGAAAATGGAAATAGGTGTTTCAGGATGCTAATGCAACCAACAGCCAAACAAAAAGTGTTAAAGGATAGTTTAAAAAAACAATAAAAAGACTTTAAAAGTCTTTTCTGGATAACCTAATCCTAAGATCTCAATTCCACTAAGCATGCATTGGATAAACTGAAAAGGTGCATTTGTTAATTTCATAAGCTAAGAATTTTTTTCAGAGATATAATTTTAGTCATTAAACTTAAATCAAAACATAGTATCAATTCAGAAAACATCAAATTATTACTAATTTTCTTGCTAATAGTTATTTACAGAATTTTCAGGAAAGTGACGCATACAAATTTCAGTTTTTGACTATACAACACTGGATTGAATCTTTTTACTTTTACATCAATGCTGCTGCTGTTCAAGGATTTATTAACTAATATACATTTAGCACAAGTCTACTTTAAAAAAAATATATTGTTTTCTTTATGGAAAATTTAACATATTTTCTTTATTTAATTTTTTAAATGCTATATTATTTTAGTTAATTCATTCAATAAAATATTTAAATTAATAAACTAAATGACTTACAGGTACTTTGGATGGTCTTGGATTTGGATCTGAAGTGGTGGTTTCATTCTCCATGGCTAACTAAATAGGCTTGCATAAAATTAATTTTTTAAATTAAATGCAGATATAGAATAAAAAATAAATATATACATATGTTTAAAATAAATAAATACAATGGGTGATCAGTTAACGAACATAATCCGTTCCAAGACTTTGTTCATTTATCCGAATTGTTCGTTAACCGATTATCGATTTACCATAGGTTTTTATGGGAATTTGATTAATTCATTCCGAAGACTCCAAAAAATAAAAAAAATATATATTTTTTTTACTACGTTTATTTATATGTAATAGTAAAAAAATATATATATGCAGTCTTGCATTTTTATTAGTCATGTTTTTTCCATTTGTGGGGGTTAAAGATCTGTCTAATGTCAATTGTTTTTCTCTTTTCTTCAGGATTTTTTGGAAGTAATTAATAGTATTATAATTTTAGAGATCCCCAATCCCATTAACCTTATTCTGGTTTGGATGCCACTTGGATGATCTGACATCCTCCCACTTCTTCAAAAGATCTTTAGTAACAGATGTTACATTGGTCTCTTTCGTCTTCCTCTTTTTCAAAAGAAAACACATCTCGCTGAGTTTTTTGGTATTCTTCATTTGAGAGTTCTTGGAGTTCTTCTGTCGTCAGANGATGATTAACTTTCGGAAAATCGATGCTCTACTGTATTTTCAATCAATCATTTATTTGATATGGCTTTTTGTTTTTACAAAGGGGGTACAAAAACTTTAAAGACATTATAAGTACAAACACTATAATAATTATCACTATCCAGGTACAGTTATGTGAGTTGAATTTAAAAAACTATTTTAATACATTTACTAAATAAAAATATTTATACAGTTTAAATAATGTTATAGAACTTAAATTATGATCGTGCAAAGAATTAATATTGAAATCAGTTAACAAAAAATTATTTTTTAAATGTTCAGTATACAGTAATACCCCGAACTTACGCGATAGATGGGGCCGAGCGATAACTGCGTAAGTCGAATTCACGTAAGTTGGGGTATAATTTCACAATTTGTGTAAAATCCAAGTAGGATGTATGTAAGCTAATAAATGTTCTCGTTAATCTTATCTTGTCTTTTGATTCGTTCATGGTTACAAGAAATCACCACATAGAGTCTCTCAAGGCTCTATAGATATAACAAATACAGAAATAAATAACACAAAATAAATTGTAGCTATGTGTCGATTCCACGCAATACGTCCAAACATGTAAGCTGAAAAATATTGTGGGGGAGTGAGTAATCAAGAGTTGTGTGGCACTCAAACAAAAGATGAATCAATGAGATTTGAAAATTGTGTAACTCTGGGTTCGCGTAAGTCGGGGTAGTGTAAGTCGAGGTATTACTGTATTCACAATATACAAACGATTTTTAACATTTTCAAAGTAAAGATTACAAAAGGAACAATTAGAACAAGGTTAGTTATTGACAAGACTATGTCTTGTTTATAAAATTGTACTG